TGTGTGTGTGTGTGTGTGTGTGTGTGTGTGTGTGTGTGTGTGTGTGTGTGTGTGTGTGTGTGTGTGTGTGAGCCATTTGGTGTCTTCAAACTGGGCGCTGTGGTAATTATCCTGCACTGACCGTCATGCCAGCCTCTCCTTTGTCTCCCTTGGCTCCATCTGGCCCGATCTCTCCCTGCAAGATGAGCAGGCATTAGGAGGCATACAACCCACAGAGTGACTTCCAGTCAGATAATTCTATAGTGTAAGATGAGGCACACTGTGGGTACAAATTTAACAGCCAAAGTGGAAGGTTAAACAAGCAATGAAGACTTATAGAGAGACTGTTTGACACATCCACTTCTAAGAACAGCACATCAAGTTTATTTATATAGCGCCAAGTCACAACATACATTGTCTCAGGGCACTGTACATAAAAAGAATAATCTAAAGAAGTAACCAGCAGGCTGCGTTGAATTACTTCATCACAGTCTCCCATATGTGTATCTAGACATCTAGATAGATAGATAGATAGATAGATAGATAGATAGATAGATAGATAGATAGATAGATAGATAGATATACACACATACTTAGCACAAAATAATGTGTGTTTGGTGTATTATTTCTTTGTTGTAACAATGCTTCCTGGCAATAAATCTTATACTGTTTGCAAACCTGTTAATTCCTCCTTTGAAACTGTGCCGTTTTGCACCATTTGCAAGGAACATGCATTTGTGGGATGAGCAATAGGGCTGAGTATGTGGGTTGTGCACATGAAAAATATACCAAATATTCTCTGTCAAACAGTTTAYTCTGCTGTTTCTATCAACACTTATTTTGAACTTCTGGTTYCTCCAGGTGCTGCCAATCAGGTGCCTAGTTTAAGATGTATTGCCAAGAAACATTGTTWCAACAAAGAAATAATCTACCAAACACAAACTTTCTTACTTTTTTGTGCTCAGTATATTCAAAWGAGGAAAAAAATTAAGATAGTTTTGCAACATGAAATAGGAAGTAGTTTTTTTATTATTGATATTTTGTAGTGATAATTGGATGTTTCTGACTACAGCGAGTCCAGGTGAGGGTTGCAAAAATACAATAAGAAATAGTTAAGAAAAGAGGACAAAACTGACCGCTTCTCCTCGCTCCCCTGGGATTCCTGGTATACCTCGAGGACCAACCATGGCAGGTCCAATTGGACCTCTCTCCCCCTGAAACACACGCACAACATTGCAACACTGAATGTAACAGCATGATCGCTGACAGGTGAGGAGAAAAACATCAATTTTTCTCATTATAAATAAAAGTGTGCTGAACAAATAGGGCATCAAGTGAATGTTCTATCTTTAAGGCTGATTTATTGTGAGGAAATAGGCCAGTGGAAGCTTTTGTGGAACATCAATAAAGGCTAAGTTGTGATGGATAGTTGCCATTCCAAAGCTGCAAATCATGTAGGTTGTTTATTGTCTGTAGAGACAGACAGTCCAAAAAAAGCTTGTAAACCTGCAGCAGTATTGCATTTTGGTACATGCCAGATAAAGACTGGCATATACTGTATTTATGCTGTATGTCAGACAAGTCAGGATCTCCTGTCACCTCATTGCAGAACATTAGTAACATCCTCTGGTCATGAAACCATTTCTTTGCAGCCAGTTTTAGAGAATGGGTTTTCATATATATGTAGAAGGTTTAGCTGGCTGTGGAGAGCTGTTTAATTGACTCTATTTATTGGTTTGTCACCAAGTAAAACATATAGCTAAAATTGGTTCAAAATGTGTTTTTTCACTTGCAGACGACAAAGATCACTTTTCTTTAGTCCTTTTTAATTATTCATTAATTATGAAATGAATCCAGATGCAAAAACTTGGCATATTGTTTTGTKTCCACTATCTATAATTTTGGTTTTCATAATCTTCTCCATCTTCTTCTTAAATTCTCAATACTGTTTTAGATTTACAGGTTTAGGCAGCTTATTTTATCTGCTGTTTTTCAATATTCTCAGCAGATCTCAAGGTTTCACAATAAAACTGAAAAATAATACTAAATCACGACTGTCTCAGCTTAAAAAAAGCATCASTTGAAGAGACTTGATGCAGCCCTGTCACCAGCTTTCTTTATTTACTTGATGTTARAGCAGACAAGCCCATAATATGCAGGAACCTTCAAACTGACAATCATTATGAAGCAATACAAAGCAATAAATAAAAAAAAAGAAAAGAAAAACGGGAGACAGGTGGAAAAAACAAAACAGAAAAAGCAAGAAAAATTCATAAATACTGTTTTTGTATCAGTAAAAACACTTCTAATATCAAAAGTATCAAATGTTTTGTCACCTCACCAGTCGGACACCTGAACGCTGCTATCTTGTGCCAGTTCTGATCCAATGGGTGCATTTTTCTGCTTTTTGTTTGATGGATCACCAACAAATGTGCTCGGTCAAACCCAGTTCTTTTAGTGTAAGAATGGACTTTTAAAATGTTATCTTTTCTTATCTTCTACATAAAAGCACTTTATACCTACAAATAAATTATGAGTCCAAGGTGCAAAATTAAAAATTTAAAAATAATAAGGATCACCTTCTGTCCCTGGAGTCCCTCTGGGCCTTTAGTCCCAGCTGGACCTTGTGGGCCACTCAAACCGGCAGGTCCATCCATCCCTCTGGGACCTGGAGGACCAGGCACACCAGGTGGTCCCTGTTTGAAGCACAGACACTGGTAATTGAATTTCCTGTTTCAGTGTTTTAAGGATGAGTGATGCTGCAGTGGTGACACATGGATATGGAGATCAGGCACAGCGAGTGATTTTCATTAGCCTGAACGTTGTTTAGATTTGTATGGGTGGCAGCATGCTGCTGCTGCTGCAGTCACTCACCCTTTCACCTTTCTCTCCTTGAGTTCCTTTGGCTCCAGAGAGCCCGTCAAAACCACGCTCACCCTAAATCCATGATGAAAACAAGTTAGTTTGAACATTTAAAGTAATTTCCTACAAAAAAAGGTTTTGTGCAATACCTTAGGACCAACTAGACCCTCTTTTCCAGGGGTTCCAGGAGCTCCCGGGGGCCCTAAATCACCCTGAAACAAACCCAAATAGCACTGATAACTATAACAAAGCCATTTATTAAACCTCTGGAGTCTTATTTGTCTGATATTACCATACCTGTTCACCTTTCCTCCCTGGTAGGCCTGATCGTCCATGAATACCAGCATCCCCCTGAACATATCAATAATATATCCATTTAGTTTTGGTCTACAATCACCATCATATCATTATGTCCTACTAACTGCTTGTAACAAATGTACTCATTTTTACAGCACTTGTCTTCTCAATAATATTTTCATTATTCTGACTACTGGCTCACCTTTTCTCCTTTAGGTCCACTGGCTCCACAAACCCCCTTGGATCCACGGTCACCCTGGAAACACAAAAGCTCATCACTGACAGACATATAAAAATACTTTAAGTGGACAAGAAAAAAAAACAGAAAGAAATGAACCAAAGCAGCCAAGCAAAGAGCCCATCCATGCAGACTGTTCTTTTACCTACCACTCAGAAAGCTCTTACACCCACCATGAGACTAAAACAACTTGTGCAGCAAGTTTCCATTAACAGCGGGTAAGACGCAGAACTGAAAGCATGAAATAATATGATGGGAAATACGGCTGCAGAGCTCAGTGAGCTCAGAGAGAYGAGACGAGGTTCGGCTTGAATCACATGTGGTGCGGATGTCACATTTTATTTTCACAGCAGTATAATTTTACAAGAACTTGATAAATATGGGTGATTTAAATAACTGATGATTGCTTGTTATTACAATTTATTTGTGTATAATACGATCTCATGTATAATACGACCACCCCCCCTTTTTTGAGCTTAAAAAGCATTAAAAAATTTAATCCTCAAACTGCCTTCAATTTCATGCAGACCAAGATTTTTCAGCCTTTGCAGTCTTTATACATATCAGTAAAATGATCATTGGACTGTTCATTTTATTTTAACAACATTTGTACTAAAAGGTATTTTGACAACAAATATACAGTATATCAGCTGTAGCAGCATCATATGAATTCTGGCATTTTACACATAGTYCACCAGGAKGYGCCAACACAAAAGTCAGAGACTTCACATGAGATTTGGACCATCTTCTGGGGGAAAAGCAGATTACTTCCTACTCGCGAGCGCCCCCTCTGGTGGGGTAACGTTTTTCAGGGATACAAACTTATTCAGAACACTGGTAGACGGCAGCCATTACAGATGAACGTATGTGTTTGTTGTTCCAGGAGCGGCTCGGTCACACGCTAATGTCATTAGTTCGTTATCATTACTGAGCTGCAGGACTGCTCCCCCCTTTTTTTCACATCATGTTGCCTGCTTGGATCTGTTACTATCTTGCTCTAAAGCACAGAGGAGGGTCAGGTATGCTCGTTTCAACTGCTTTTTTACAACTCGGTCTCATTTCCGGACTCAGGCATTTTGCCGATATTTCAGTTAAAATACATTAGTAAAAATATTTATCCGAGTATAATGCTACCCCCCTACTTTATGGATGATTTTATGGATTAAATTTTATGTATTATACTTGAATAAATACGGTAGTTAAAGCAGCAGTGGTACCGATTGGCCTAGTGCTCTAGAAATATGTCTATGTCCTTTCACATTCAAAATTACTGTAAAATATTCTAACAAGAAAATGACCTAGAAGAGCTAGAATGCTTTTGAGTAGAACTCAAAAAACAGATGTGTTGAATTTATTTAAACAATTTATTTCAACTGGTTCCACTCAACTGTTGATTAAATGTAATGCAATGTTCAGATCTACTTGTTGCTTTAAATTTGCTCAAAGCAGACAAGTGGAACCAGCTGACATAACTTGACTAAGTAAATCCAACACGTTTGTTTCTTAAGTGTAGATGGGCTCTGTGCTTCCCATAGAGGGACCATATAAAATGAAAATGTTGGCTGTTCATCACAAGCAGCTAAAGATGATTATCTTGTACATTATTATTATTATTATTATTATTATTATTATTATTATTATTATTATTATTATTATTATTTTATTATTATTTTTTTAAGGCTTCATATGAAAAGTGAGGCAGTAAATACAGTAGATTATTGTTATAGTGAAAAGTGGATTTAAGGCTTCATTTTGGCCCCTAAATAGTTTTTCAGAGGTTCCATAGATCCATTTTTCATATCCACTTCTTTAACCTTAATATGTTTTTAGCAACTGAGGCAAACATTGAAATTAATAAAGGAAGTGAAACAACTTGGGAAATGAGTCTAAGCAAAATTATTTTTTATGTGACTCTACAACACAGGATTTACATTACACATTCTGTGTATATTCCTGTAAAACAATTAGTACTAATCCTCTGCAGTCACAACAATTTTATGCTATTAGCGAGCTGTGACTGTCCTCACCCACTCGTGAAAAATTCTCCAAGGTTGAAGCCTCTTTCAGTGAACAAACAAGCATGAAAATACCTTGATTCCTCTCAGTCCTGTGACRCCATCTTCACCTTTATCCCCTTTACGGCCCAAAAGTCCATCTTTTCCAGGTAAACCCTGACAGAAAAACACACAAAATGTCTCTTCACATTCACAAAGTAGAAAATAATTCACTTACACAACATGTGGAAGCATATTTCTGTAAACGGAACAACAAAAACACACACCGATTCACCGGGTACACCAGGTTGGCCTGGTTCTCCCTGCAGAGAGAAAACAACATCGCCATAATTACAGCAGGAACATCACTGCCTGTGCTGACCACAGACTGCTGTTAACAGTGATTTAATCCCAGTAACCATCTTTAAAAACTTGCCTTTTGTCCACCTGGACCACGAGCCCCAGGAAATCCAGTGGATCCTCGTTCTCCAGGTTCTCCATTCTTACCCTGACGACAAACAAATTTGGACACTGATAACATATTTTTACTTTAGCACTATAGTATTAAAGCAACTTTTTTGAGCGTTATATCATGTCATAATGTCATTCTCTCATCACACAGAAAGTGTTGCTTTGACTCATTCATGTTTGTTTGAGAAATCCTTGAATCTCCTTTGGTAGCCATATGGAKCTGCCTATAAGCTTGTTCAAACAAAGCACCGCCTATTTACCCAAAGCTCCTCCCTGGAGCTCAGTCCCCAGCCAAACTCCCACCCCACAAACACCTGGTGAAACTGCRCRTCTGCTGAGCTCGTAATCTACCTACCTACCAATCTACCAATGCARGRTTCACAGGAGAGCAGCATCAATCATAAAAGACCCAACCCACCTCCAGCATGGACTATTTACACCTCTGCCCTCYGGCCGGAGGTACAKAARTGTGACATGCAGAACCTCCAGATACAAGAACTCATTTTTCCCAAGTGCCATCAGACTCTTAAACAGCTGAACGTGACATTCTTCTGACTATTATTATTGCACATGTGCACATTTCAGACTGTTACCTGTTGCACATTCGCACATTACACTTTAAAACAGATTGTACAGTTCCCTTCTTGTTGTCATTATTATATTGTTCCCTTCTGATGTCATTATCCTTAGTTTAGTCTCTTCTTTTTATCTAATCAACATTGTTTGTGTCCTTTCGGTGATGATTCGTTTCTTTTGTTAATATGGTTATCTGTTGGCATTCAAAATGGACGACAAAGTAAGAATTTCATTGCTCAGGGAAATGTTTTCATCTGTGCATATGACAATAATCACTTTGAATCTTTAATACTAATATCTTCTCGGTCCAGTCCGTTTCAGATTAAACTATGCTTTCACAGAGGAAATGTATTTTTGGATGCCAAAGAGGCTACTCTCTTTTAACGTTTCATAAGGTTGACACATTTCATAAAAATGGTTGGATTTTTCTCCTACAAAAGGGTTTAAATGACATGAAGCATTGTTGTGAAGACGTGCTGAAGGGGAAGTGTCGGAAACAGCAGGAGGTTCTTAAAGAAACAGAGGCCAATTTCAGGGTGCTTATAGGAAAGACAAAAGTCAAATTCAAATTCAAATTCAAATGCAAAGTCAAATTTATTTGTCATGTGTACAGTAGACTGAAGTCATCATAGTTAATTTATTGTAGTATAGAACTGAACTATGTACCTAGAAAATACATAATACTCTTCTTTAAATAGAGTTAATTTACAATGGATTGACTTAAAAACAGTTWTTTCAAGGTTCTGAACAACTTTAATACAGTATGTACAGTGCACATAGYGTCACTGATTGACCAAGGTGAAAAAGACAAACTACCACTGACACAGTCAGTGAACCAGATTGTCCATCTCCAAACCATTTACTTCCCAGACAAACCAATTGATTCATCTCCTGTTCAATTTACCTGCTCTCCTGATGGACCCTCTTGACCTTTAACCCCCTTTTCTCCTTGTGTACCCTTGGGTCCTCTGTCACCCTGTGTGAAATGACAGTAAAAGACAACAGAAGTATTTACTGTACATGCTATCATAAGCAAATATTTTGGCACAACGATCAGMGTGGCACATTTACTGACAGTTTCTCCTTTGTTGCCCTTTTCTCCAGCAGGTCCTCCCACCAGCTTAGTGTCCCCCTGTAAAGAGCAGCACAAAGGACAAAGTGTTGTTTCATTCCAAGAGAGAATGATAAAGATGCATTATCTATACAATTCCTTACACTGTGTGATATTTTTTGTTTGTTTTTTTCATATTACATCTCATCAGTATTCTGTATTTTCTTATATTCCTCCTGCTTTCTGCAGAGTGATTTTGTTGAAAGAGCTTTCTCAAAAAAAAAAAAAAAAAAAGCCACTGCTGACAATTTTCCAATGACTTTAAATTAGTAAATAAATCAAATACACTGACGTAAAAAAAGTGAACGGCAGTGAAGCTTATCAGATGTTAATATGCACAAACCTTTTCTCCTTTTTCACCCTGAGGTCCGCTGTCTCCCTGTACAAGAAAATAAAATAAACATTTCARTTTAATTCACCAYTTAACATGAGCAAAGCTGCACRATGATACAAATAAAAAGGGGAAAAGGTAAAATGTACCTTTTCTCCTCGAGTWCCTCGAACCCCCGGGGGTCCCTGATGGACACACAAACATACCATGTTGTTATTGACTACAACAGGCATGTTTTTGCCAATAAACAACTTTTTCTTCATATACCACAAATGACAGGACATTAAATAAAAATTACAACACAACCCGAGTAGAGTTTCGGTGTTCTTGTTATGCACATTTAACCAAGACCCAGGGTTTTAGGCAGACCAGATTTTTAGGTCCWGATCAGAGTTCRATTTCACATTCACACCTCCCAAAACAAACCAGACTTTCTAGCAGACTAAACAGGGCTGGTGTGAATGCACCCTAAATTTTCATTAGGTGAGAGTGAGTGGTTGTTTGTTTTATCAGTCTTTATGTGTCCTCGTGATGGACTTGCGACCTGTCCAGGCTGCCCTCCACTTCTCACACTGTGGCTGTGTCTCAATTCATGGGCTGGGTCCTCATGAGGACCCAG